CCAAACGTTATTTTCTGTCAGTTACCAAAGCTACTCCCGGAACCACAATAAGGAACGCTTCTCCAAGTTCTGTTTCCACGAGACCAACGGAGCCAACGATATCTACGCAAACCACAAACACGTCTCCTACCAGCAAGGGTACAATTCCCGTAACGAAACGTAAGTGAGCAAAAAGGTTCGTTAAACTTTAATCAAAGCTACGGTCTCATCGAAGTTAATAATGCTTTGTCAGCACAATGATGTGGGAGGCGCGGTGGCCTCATGGTTAGTGCGCCCGTCTCCGGATCGAGCGGTCCGGGTTCGAGCCCTGGCCGGGGACATTGTGTTGTGTTCTTGGGCAAGACAATTTACTCTCACAGTGCCTCTCTCCACCCAGGTGTATAAATGGGTACCGGCGAACTTAATGCTGGGGGTAAACCTGCGATGGACTAGCATCCCATCCAGGGGGGAGTAGAAATACTCCTAGTCGCTTCATGCTACAGAAACGGGGATAAGCTCCGGCCTGATGGGCCACTTGGCTCGCATGCAGACTTTACCTATCAGCACAATGATGGGGTCATTAGTGACGTCTGATTTGATTGGCCTGCTTCCAACAATATGAATGTTCAAAAACTAGAATGACCTTTGTTTTGTCCTTGGCTGCCTCGTGCTACTCAACACATATTTTTGAAACACTCATCGATTGGCATTTTAACGTAGGTACGTACGTAACAATTTTCGATCTGTAACTTAATAATTGATTGAACAGGTTGTGATTTGTCATTTTATGTTTTTTTCTTTCGTCCGGTCATCACCTCTTCCAATCCAGGGAAGACACCTGGTGCAACAACTATCGAGATTTCAAGAACATACCCACCAAAGTCGCCTGGTATACCATGTAAGTTGCTTTAAGTTGTCTAATTTCGCGCCAAATAAGAATAAAAAAAAACTACACAAAATACAACAGCAGAGTACAAAAACATTTTGAAAGCGCTTCGTTTCATCTGAAGTTGATCATTAACAAAAATGCTGTTGGGAATTTAAAGAGACTTTGGACATAATTAAACGCGTATAATATTTAAAATGAATTTTTATTGTCATCCATAGGTTGTATGGAACATGCACAGATATCCTTGGTCTGTGCACCTCAATGCCAAACATCATGCACAGCGGTTTGCCCTCCATCCTGCTGCTTTGCGTTGTCGCAGCAGTATCGCGGTGCTTACTCCTCTCCAACTCTCCCCCTACAGCCAGTCTACACTAATCACTGTCCATCTCCTTGTCCATCTTCGTGTGCTCCAAAGTGTTCTCCAAAATGCTGTAATGCCGTCATTTACCGATCTCAGCTGTACCTAAAACGAAAAGTTATCGGGAGGAAAAGTGTCAAGAAAAAGAACAGGTTACGAAAACTGCGTAAACTACATCAACTGAAAAAGGCCATTAAGCTGAGTCAAAATTGAGGTGAATTGGGAGTTTCTGAAACAAACCACTTTCTGGCCTCCTACGACATGCTGACGTACGTCAATCTGAAGATAGTCGCCACGTTGAATTTGGCCTCGAAGCAATAGTGTGTACTGTGGACGCACTATGACTTGTCAGTTTGCGCACAGGGATAATGGCAAACTAGAGTAAAATATGACAACAATGAATGATCTGTCATACAACCAAAGAAGTTGTATAATTTTGCCTTTGAACGGGATCATGCCACCGAAGGCATGACTATAGTGATTATGGCTTGAGACTTTTTGACTCTTTCAGGATTGGAATCCAACCTAACAGCTTTTGAAAGAAGTGGCTTTTCAAAGTAGATTGGATTGGAGCAACGGGACCCTGGATGGAATGTTAATCCATCGCAGGGTCATCATCAGCATTAATTGACCCAGCATTACCCGTTTTTACACCTGTACGGATACAAAAAAAGTGAGGGTCATGTGTCTTGCCCAGGAACAAAACACAGTGACCTCAGTACTGCGCAGTCTCTCGTAGAAGACATTTATTGCAAGAGGGCATACTGTGAATTGACTTTCTTTGTAAGAAAGGCTTGGTTTATACCCACTACGGCGTAAACCAACAGTAATTTTTCACAGTCAGTGAAACATCCGGATTTAACCAAAATAAGTACACGCAATACAGATTCAACTCGACACTTGACCATGTGCTTTTAATCCCCCATAATTCATTTCGGCCGTACACGATCACATCATCGATACTACACCAACCAGGCACCTGGACCAGTTTGGTGAAGTACAAAAAGAGTTCCTGGAACGTCTCTTGTCGTAAAAGGAACAGATCTTACTGACGATTTTCTGCCAGTGTTATGGTTAATCAAGTCAAAGAGACTGATTACACCCATCTTCGGCCCTTGTGGTGGCCGGTAAGTTAAACTGCAAAAAGCAATGGTTTATCGAACCCTTGATAAGAGGATCACATTCAACTGAAGCGGCATATTGGCCAAGGAATGCGTTAGTTAAGTTGGTGAGATTAGAAGAAAATGACCGATTTTCAAGCTTAAGATTGACTCATTTCCGACAAACCTTCGTTAATGTAACTATGAACTCCGATCTTTCAATTAAAAGCTGATGAAATGCTTACATTTGGATGAAAATCAAGCTACGTTACGACATACTTAACAATCAAACAAATAAATATTTATTAGCATCAGTTATAGAGCAGTGTAATTACGATTTTAGAGTTTTTTTAAAGTAGAATATGTTTTATTTGTAACTGTCTCAGTAACTGGAAAAATCATGAACGTTATTTCATCTCACCACCCGGGTGAGGACTTGTATTGGTACCAAAGTGGACTCCCAGCGCCAAGTTAAACGTCGAACTTCAGATGATACGAACTAAATTGAAATTTGAGTCGATCCAAACTCAAAGCTCGGCCGTTGGGTCAAACATCGAACTTAATTAGAACTTAGATCGACTAAACTCAGTCGGAAGAACTTATCATTAGTTATGTAAAGCGCTACGTTTGACCTGGGCCACAGGGTTTTGTCACTTGGGACAAGTGCTGCAAAAATCACTTCCACCTTGATTGCTCATCCAGACAGCACCTTTACACCTTATTGTTATTGTTATTAAAAGGGGGTTAAAATAGGAAAGAGTAGCTCCAATGACATTAAAGCTGTAATGTTTTTCTAGTCTTGTTTAATATTAAGTTCTGTCAATTGATTAGCCTATATTTCCATTACCACTTTACAATTATCATGATAATTAATAGGCTTTCATACCCAGTTAAGCACTGATTTTACATCTTTTTTTAAAGCGAAAGTTCTAAAAAGCTTTAAAAGTTCTAGAAAAGAAAAAAAACGCTTAAAAAGTCGCTCAAAATCTCTTAAAAATAAAGTCTTTGGTTATGAAATGACTTCAAAGTAAGCACGAATTTGCCTCGCCTAGAGGGGTGATGTGGGTCTTAGGGGTGACGGTGGGGAAATATTACATGTGCGCGCCAGTGGAATGAGCGGCAATTTATATCTCACATCCATGCCCGTGATTGTCTGAGGGATAGGGAATCTGTTTGCTTGTTTGTCTCGTAAAGCACATCATGGACTACCATAAAAGCTTACTCACTGAAAGGTCCACTCGCCCAAATCTTCTAGTCTTCTTCGGTTACTTTAAACTTTAAGGGAATTCCTTTTGATAAAAGGTACGCTATTATAACGAGCACTATTTCCTTCTAGCGTAGTTTCTTCCTGCAGTCCCCCATAACGCATCAGTGCTTCTGACTTACCTTTCTCTTAATCGAACCCCAGTCAATCATGCATTGCAGCACCCTGGAACTTAAAGACCTTCATCTTAAAATAGAATCTTCAGAAATTTTATCAAGCAGCAGACGAACACCGGGAGGAATGAACTTTATAAAATAATGCTTTGGAGAACAAGAATGAACACAAATGTCTCGCCGTTTATCTTAGAAAAATACTTTTCATGCCTGCCTTCCTGAGATGCTTGAATAAATTGGTACGCATTTAATTCTGTAAAATACTAATTGAACCAATTTCACTGGGATGATATAGATTCTTATTTCAATCTACGATGCAACATTGCAATTTTGATAAAAATGGGAGTTATAACTGAACACTGATTATTATGCTTGAACTGTCAGCCTTCAATTCATTAAGGGTCTTGGATTCTCCTTCATTCAGCGATGTTATCTGGCCATTTATTATAATGTGGCTTAGCATATTTCTGAACTTTAGGAAGTTCTGTTGAAGAGCCAAAAGCTTGTGCTTTTATATTTTTAGCCAGAAAGCATATTTCTATTTTACTTTTAGGACGTCTGAAGTAATCCTAGATGAAAATTCTTTATAATATAATGCTGGTATAATGATTGCTGTCAAAATAGCTCAAACTGTCCTATTCTACACGAAAATCTATCAGAAAATTAACCAAACATTCTTGAACGAGCGCCGCGCCCATGCTTCGTCCCAATCTCCTCTATTCTAAAACCTCTCGCCTCCTAATCCCTGCCTGATTTCGAGAGAAAAACAGAGTTCCATCAGTCAAGAGTAAAACAAGAATGCAAAATCAGTCCGATATAATTTAATTTGTAGCATTGTGAAGCCAGCGAAGCTACTTGCATAGTGAAGCTAAAAAAAGTCAGATTTGAAAGTGAAATTTTACATTGTGGCATAGGCTTTAACCCCAGAATCCTGAAGCCAGAGAAACTATCGTCCCAAATGCTTTGGAAATTTTCCACCTTCTGCGAATGCGAAGCTACACCGACCTCTTCAAGGCCGTCGTACGAAACTCGCCATTCATGTTTTGTTTACAAAATATTTAAGATCACCTGGGGTGTTTAATGAAATACCTGAGGAGATTGATAAACAAAGCTATCTTTATGAGCCAGGGGAACATCGATTTAAAGAAGCTCATTCTACAAAATGAGATATACAACAAGACGGTTAAACGTCATTCAGTCACGGCTGTATGTCATGCCCATATATGTTTCCTATTTAGCATAAAATTCGTGCCTTGATCATTAGGTTTATTTTAGAGATCAATGAATCATTGAATAGACACACTGGTACATGCATTTTCTGTTCTTAGCTTTAGAATAGAAACAATTTCCATAAATGGTGTCCAAGCAGGAAATGTTTTTAGACAAACTAGTAGTCATTGGAGTGAGATAAGATTTAATCAGAACAACAGACGAAAAGAAGCCTTAGTGTTCTCCTTCAAAAGGTAAGTTGCTTGGGCTTTTTTTCGTTGAACGTTTGCTTTGTAACCGTCCAACGGCTATAATATCTTTCTGATCTTAGCTTATTACATATAAATGTTAGTTTTAATATGTTCTACGAGTGATTTTGCAGTTAGTTTATTGTCAGCTTCCTTGTTGAAAGGGTGAAGAAGCGCCACTAAATTAAGGCACAACTGTATAACACCGAGGTGTTCTTAAAATTACCCAACGTTAACCTACTTTTTTTTTACTATTTAAATTTGTGGTACAAAATACGGTAACCGATTTGTTCAAGTTGTTTAGCTGACAACCTTTCGAGAGGAAACTTAACGACAACGACTAGAAATTTAGGAATACATAGGTGATAAACCTAAGTTTACATCGATGATTACCACGGACCATAGATCATGCACCTTTTATTAACGTTAATTTTCCAGTATGGAAACGTCACACAAGGTTATATTGTGTCGTTTATATAGGCTCGAATGCAATGCTAACTGAGACAGAGTAAGGAGAGTCATAGGATGATCTTCTTTTGATTTCAGTTGTCGACAGGAGCCATAATCGGGGACGGAGACCGTAAGCGCGCGCCATTTCTAGTATTGGGGTTGTCCCCATGATATGGGACAATAATTCTATTTTTAGAACAAATTTCGCCATCACCTGCGGCACACGCGCGTGCATGCTGCGAGGATTTTTGCCGATGTCGCGCGGGGGAAATGGCGTCCGAAATTCCCGAAATTTTTCATG